AATGTTGTGAACCACCCAGAGAGCTTTGGCTTCAGGCAGTATTGAAATGCAAGAAGGAGAAGAATTTTCAGAAATATAGAAATCCTTAAATCTATTCGGCTCAGCTAGTATGCACTGCACTGCAAATTCACAATCCAATCTAGACAGCTTTAATCCTCTGAATTTGGAGGATTATGGGCATCCTATCCAGGGTGGAAGCAGCACAAAGGTGAAGGTTACCTTTGCACTCCTGCCTACATGCAAGACTCCTAGATGGCAGGTTTCTAGGTTTCTAAGGGGGGGGGGGTGCTTCAGAGCAGGAGGAAAAGCACCTGAGTGGAAAGGCTGGTCTTCTCTCTTCAGGGAGCCCACTCAGCTCCTCCTCCTAGTTCTCATATTAGTGAAATCTTCTCAGTTAGACAGTAAGTCGTACTGTCACAAGGAAAGAAATTGTGCAAGTCCCTAGTCCCTAGGCACCAATTTTCTTTCTCCCAATATTACCAGTGCAACTGAAAACTACAGGTATTTCATCCCTTTATGATAAAACAGATAAAAATGTAGGAGTCATGGAGTAACATGTCATATTCTCCTTCCCCAAAATTTTGTAGATGAAAATAGGGACATCGTGACAACACCCCAGCCGCGACCCAGTGCATCATTCTCTCCTTCCCACCACATTTTGACACCTTGCTGAAGGGTTTATTTTGCCCGTGGAATGTTGCACGAATTGAATCAGCAGTAGCCTATTAAAGTGTAAGTGGTAAGAAGATATTGCTATTTTTGGTTAAAGCCGTACTGGATGCGGAGGAGATATAAATCCTATTCCAATGTTTTGCTTCAGGGAATAATGAACATGTTCTGCCCCCATGTTCTGTCTTCATCTGGGGATGTGTGAATCAGCAAAACTTGAGCTGGCCAAAATTCTCTGAATTCCATCTTGAAGCTCATTCCAAGCTCAGATTGCACTCTTTGTTTTTCTCTTCTTGTATGATTTGCCATGCATACTTCTGTGTGTCTAATTGATGTAGCCATCAATTGTGCACATCTCTGAAATGTATCTGTTCTCCTACGAGATGAAGCACATTTTTCAAATGTCTGGATTTCATGCACATTTCCCCCCTTTTGCCTGGAAATCACATTGCAAGTTTAGAAATAGATTCACATTGCTAGCAACCCCTGCTCAGTCCAGAAGGTAAGAACCTGATCAAAAACCTCTCATCCATTCTTGTCCTTCTCACCCTCCATATGTTGAAGATGAATTTCTGCAGCAGGAAACTTTTTCTGTATGTGGAAAAGATCCCTGGAAAAAGTGGTTTCTAAGTAGCCTGGAAACCTGACACCAATACCAAGGGTTCTGTGCTTCTGAGGTTTGCTGTCAGCTCCTGGAAGGTGGCAAGGCTGGTGCTCACACTCCAGCTCTCCGCTTGCACCTTAAGGGCATAGGAAGAGCCCTGCTGGATCAGATCAAAGATGTATCTAGTCCAGCCTTCTGTTCACACACTGGCTCATGAGGATCCCTCAAGCAGGATGTTGGTGCAATAGCACCCTCCCACCCATGTTCCCCAGAAGCTGGTGTACATGGGCATTCTGCCTCTGATACTGGAGACAGCATATAGCCACATATGGTCTTTTCCTCCATGAATTTGTCCAATCCATTTTAAAGCCATCCAGATTAATGGCTGTCGCGACATCTTATGTACAGGCCATGCTGGGGGACAGCCTTCTGTGGCTGGAGTCCCAAATCTTTCGCTGGGAGCCCCATATCCCTGGGATGCCATCTCCCCTACCACCCTGCTGTCTGTGGGCACTTGCTGAAATAAATGTAGGGGCCTGATCTCCTGGAATAACTGGTTTTCTGCCCATTTAGGATATATCTTCTGCTGTCCCACCCCTTGAATCTTGTTGCCTGAGGGTCCTCATCCCCCAAATATCAAATACCCTCCTTTCTCCTGTCCATATATCCCTTTTTACAGATAGGAGTGTCCCTGGCAGACAGGATCCTTTCAACACACACACAATCTTTAGAGCATATTAGTGTATCACATCATAAGGAAAAGTGGATTAGGGCCAGAGGAAGCAGGCATGAACATTGGTGGAAGACACATCAATAGTTTAAAATATGCAGATGGTACCCTATTATTGGCAAAAAGCAGCAGCAAGTTGAAAAGACTCCTGAAGAAAGCAAAAGAAGTGCAAAAGCAGGACTGCAGCAGAACATTAAGAAAATAAAAATCACGATTATAGAAGAATCACACAACTATAAGGTCAACAAGAAAGAAATTGAAATTGTGTATGATTTTGAATGCCTTGGCAAAGTCATCAAACACCCAGAGAGCTTTGGCTACAGGCAGTATAAGGAAATAAATCAAGCAATCAAAGGGAGAGTGCAGCCAAGAAATTAGAAGACTGAGACTTGGAAGGGCAGCAATGAAGGAACTAGAAAAGCTCATCAAGTGTAAGCACATTTCGCTGGAAATCAAGGCCAAGATCATTCACACTATTGTATTCCTGATCACCATGTATGGGAGTGAAAGCTGGTCAGTGAAGAAAGCTGACAGGAAGAAGAAAATGGATGCATTCGAAATATGATGCTGTAAGAGAATTTTGTGAATATCCTGGACTGACACAAAGACAAAGAAGTTGGTCCTAGATCAGATCAAGCCAGAGCTTTGAGCAGATCATGACAAGGCAAGACTCCCTGAAGAAGACACTCATGCTGGGGAAAATCAAAGGCAGAAGAAGAGGAGGAAGAGGAAGACCAAGTATGAGAAGGATTGATTCATAAAGGAAGTCACAGTCCTGAGTTTGCAAGAGCTGAGCAGAGCTTTCAAAGACAGGACATTTTAGAAAGCATTTTCATAGGGTCGGAGAGGACTTGATGGCATGTAACCACAACAAATTAACATATGCAAATTTTTGCTTTCTTTGCTCTATCTGTGGAGCTAATCCCCACATCTTTTTGGTAACTGTGAATTCCACAGTTTGACTATGACCTGTGTCCTAAGTCTCCCACCAGTCGTGGGATGATCCCACTGGGTTCCAGAGAGCGGGAGAAAAATGTCTCCATGTTCACTTTCTTCACCCCATAGATAATGTTGCAAACTTCTTTAGTTTCTAAAGCAAAACACCAGTACAGAGTTTTGTGGGACCCAGTGATCTGGGATTGCTCATTAGGTTATTTTGGGCCACTCACTGACCCAAACTCTTTTGTTGTAAGCATAGAATGGAGAGGAGGAGAACCCCGTATGCCTTCTTGAGGTTCTTTGCAAGAGGAAGAAAGATGGTATATAAATAATTGTGCCAGAATATAGTCTTAGCAGCTCAGACATACTCCAGCAGTTACACTGTTTGGAATGGCTGGTTGTGGTCGATTAGTATCCATGTACTGGTGCTGGAGTTGGAGTTGGAAAGCTAAAACATGAAGAATGACCACTGTCACGCAGGAACAGAATATTCAGAAGGTGACACCCAGAGGCAAAAATGAGGACAGCCCTGGGCAGGGATTCACCAGGGACAAGGACCAGAAAGCAGGTTTACTCTCCCTGGTAAACACGAATGGTTGGCATGAGCATTGCCACTTGTGATGCTGGAGGATTTCATGCAGTCCACGTTTTATTCTGTACCAACCCTATTCAGTTACATGCACTAATGCACAGATTGGAACAAATTGATCCTTTGATTTTCTTGGTGCTCAAAATTGTGTGGTACATTCCTCAATTCATGAAATGTCTATTTTAGGTTAAACTGCATGCAGACATGTACATTTTCTGTGGGGAAACTGTTAAAAAATCAGAGTGATTGTCCTGCAGTTTTTGTTTTTATTTCAGATTGACACAGAAACTGGAGAGGTTCTTATGAATGACAGGCAGGATTGACATGGATGGGGACAGACTGTTTGGTCCACCCCTAGTTTTCACCAGGGGTGTCTCACGCTAGCTCACGACACTTGTGAAAACCTATTCTGTGCAACACAACATTTTAGACAACATGTTAAACATTTCCTTACCTGCATATTACTGCAGCCTGAACGTTTGGGAAAATCCAGTTTCCCTGTAGCAAACCTAGAGGAAAACGGATTTCAGATCCCATGAAACAATGGAGTATGGCTTCTATCTGCATTCACTGCACAATGCAATCCTATTCTGGAAAGATTTGCAGTGTGTACAAGGGAACTTCCCTCTCATACTCTGAATCACAAAGCAACAAGCTAACATTATCCTTGAATAGTAGCAAACCAATGGTAAGTGCAAAATTTCCTTGCTCTGTGACTGTATTTTCTCAGAGCACCCAGTCTGAAGAGTCTTTGAGGAAGGTTTTGCATAACATGGCAGGGGGCTGGCTCAGTAGGGAAAAGGGGGTCATTGCACGCTGCTGGCAGATCAGCAGGTTTGCTTTTACTGCTCTGCTCACTGTCTGCAATTTTCCCACAGTCCCTCTTGGAAGCAAACCAGGAAGTTCAGTTTTCCTGCCCTGCTTTCTTAACTGTTTAGTAGTGAAGACAAGCAGGAAGAGTCATTCAAGTTTAGCAGAGCTGAATGTTGCAGGCGACCTGTTATTAGTCCGTAAGTAAATGCTTCTTCAGCCACAGTATGAACATCGCTCAGAATGTTACTTTCTTCTATTTATTTTGCAATTCATTTTGCGTGATATTTTAATACTGGACAGTTTACTAGGTGTGTTTAGGTCCAGAATTGTCTTGTTCTAACGTGAAACCAGCAACAACCAGTTTAATTATTAACATGCATGGTATCTTTTGGATGAAGAAAGCAATAACAAGAAGGGGATCAGATTTGCCTTTGTTTTCAAAGCACCACAGCCACCTACCTTGCTACTTCCCAGTATTGATTATGCTGACCAGCTACCTGGTCTTCTGAAACTGGAGATACCAGGGACTGATCTTGAAGCAGGAGCCCTGTGCCTGGGCTAAGGTAACTCCCCCAGTCTCCACCAATGCGTGCAGGCTGATAGCTTGCTGGACTTTGTGCATGAAATGGCAGGTTTAGGCTTACCCAGAAACACAGGTCAGAACTTTCCCAGATTATTGAGTCCTGTTCTTTGCTGGAAAATACTACCTCAACTACTGAAAGTTTTCATCTGCTTGACTGTAAGTTGCTTTTCATCTTTTCTATTTTGAAATGAATAGGCATCCCCTAGTGCCAGGGCACCACATTTACATAACTGTGTCCAGAACTGGCACTGGATGTAATCTTCAAATACCTGCTATTGTAGGACAGAAGTCACTTAATAGTTTGTGTGTATGCTGAGGCAAATAGCATAAATGTTAGTTAGTTTGTTTGTTAGTTATTACATGTATATGCCACCCTCATAGCTCATAGGCTCTCCAAGCAGTTTACAATTATTAAAATCATAAATACTATACATAAAATACTCATGAAACAATATAAAGAATATATTCATAAAATACTATAAAACAAACAATATGACAACCAACAACCATGGGACAACAATCAGGAATGGCAGCAATTTAAAACTATTTTAAAAATTATATTCAAATTTGGCTCAGCATTAAGACAGATAGACTAACCATTAAAATATTTAGAGAATAAGAAGATTTTCATCTTGCACCAAAAAGGTGTCAGGGATGGCACTAGGTGCACCTCTCTGGGAATCCTGTTCCAGACATGGGGTGCCACTACTGAAAAGGCCCTTCGCCTGGTTGTCACCCCACTTCTTTTGGGGGGGGGTTCCCTGAGAAGGACCTCAACAAATGATCTTAAGGACTAAGTAGGAATATATGGGACCAGGCATTCCTTCAGATAACCTGACTCCAAATCACAATAGTGTATCACACAGTTTAGGAAGTTACATAATATTTCTGCTGAAATAGGAAGTTAAAAATAAGGACTTTTGCACCTTCTAAGGTAATGAGCTTGTGTTCCTTCCTAGCGCCTAAACATTTGTTTTCATTTACATTCCTCCAAACAAAGGGAGCGTGCTCCACAGCTTCTCCCAAACAGCATGAGTACAGGAATCCCTTCTGAAAGAGAGCGGCAAAAACCGAAATTGAGAGAAGAGCCTTTGGAAAAGGATATTAACGGAACAGTAAATAAAAGCTCAGCACAATGGGTGATCCGAGTCACTTACCTGATTACAGTTGTGGACCAGACCTGCCTATTCATGCAATTTGGGATTGTTCCAGTGAGTATGGAGGATGGACTTTTACTAGTTTAAAGAGGTGACCAAATAATGCCAAATATGAAACAGTGGCCTATTCTGTGGGGATCACTGCACGGATGGGCTCTGTTGAAATAAATAATAGTTGTTGTCCGGTGATGTAGTTCCCTGAAAAGCATGCTGCAACAAACCATCAAAGAAGGCAATTAATGATGTACTATCATCCTTGCTAGGACAAGCAGCACAACATATTTTTGTGCTTGTCCACATTGCCTGATAAGTTCTTGGGCACCTGTTTTCACATACCTCACCTACACATGCAAAAAGCAGCACACTGAAATGTTCTGCTGGGGTATTCCTGTCCAGGGGTTTCCAGGTATGATGGCCTTGCTGGCTAGGATGCAAGCCACAGCTACAGCCATTCCTGGATTGGGATCACTTGATCACGGTAGCCCAGGTACTGGGAACCTCAAGTGCTGCAATCGCTCTCACGGAGCTTCCCTTAGGGTTGGTCTGCAAGTGGCAGCTGTGCAGCTGTCGACAGGCGCATCTTTCTGACATCATGTAAGCAGTGTCAGTGTAGCCTAGTGGTTAGATTGCTGGACTGGAGCTCAGGAATTCTGGGTTCTAATCCCCATGCAGCAGTGAAACTCACTGGGTGACACTGGGCCAGTCACTCACCCTCAGCCTTACCTACCTCACAGGGTTGTTGTGAAGACAAAACATAGCAGACTCATACATAAATCCTTTCTATTTTACAAACATGGCTTTGCTTTTCATGCTTTATTGAGTCACAGAGTGATGCTGTTCTACCCTTTTTTCCTTTAAAGAGCAGTGAAATACAATAAAGACACACCTTAGAAGTGTAGTTGTGAGACCTTCAGGTTTTGATCACAAGCCCACAGCATATAGCCTGGCTTTCACCCTCTGTCCATCTGTCTCCCCCTCGACTCTAAAACAAGGAGGTGGTAGTGCAGTTTCCCTGCGTAGCTCAGGGACTCCTCACTTCTGACCAGGGTCAGTCACCAAGCTCACTTAAAGGAACCCCTCTAAATTTGAGCTGATATCTATCTATCTGTCTGTCTGTCTGTCTGTCTGTCTATCTATCTATCTATCTATCATTTTTGTTGCATCCTTTACTGAGGTCTCAGGATGGTGATACAACAGTAAAAAAGCAGCATCAAAGAAACAAAACCAGATAAAAACCAATGTTAAAACTAACCAACTCTTACAATATCAGGAAAATAAAAAGGCTTTGGCCTGGTACCGAAATAAATATAGCATCAGTGCCAGGCGCACCTCTCTGGGGAGCATGTTCCAAAGCCGGGGTGCCACCACCCTTCACTGGGTAGCCTCTCTTTTGATCACCTTCAAAAGAGGATCTTAGGGGGTGAGCAGGTGTGTAAGGAAGGAGACGCTCTTTCAGATAACTGCTTCATTTTCCCTGATGAAGACAGATCACCGTAAGTGGCAAAGTTACTTATCCTGCCTTCCTGCTCTTTAGTGGAAAAGTGGAACAGCATCACTGCATAACACCACATATTGCATGACCAGAAAAACAAAACTTGTCAGATTTAAGAAATTATGCAGTTGTGCCACAGAACACAGGAAGTATGTTGCTTTCCAGTTCTTGTTGGATTGCAGCTCCCATCCTCCCTTACAATGGGTGGAGGCTGATGGGAGTTGCAGTCCAATGACATCTAGAGGGCCACACACTCCCCACCCCTGTCACAGAGGACGGCCATCTTTGATACCTGCATGTTTTAGGCTGCAGGGGGGGAAATTGGGTTTTGAGAACTTAGCTGAAATGTCCTTAAAATGCAAACTAGTAAGATTGTACCTTGGTTACATTCAAATCTTCGGTTTTGAGGCTAACTGCTCTTCAATTAAAAATGTAATATGCAACATCTTTCTTTGATTCTCCCCACCCCGCTTATTTCAGTATTTGGCAACAAGACTGGGTTTGGATGCAGTTGGATTTGGTTACCTGCAAACAATCTTTGGTGTTCTTCAGCTTCTGGGAGGTCCCATTTTTGGAAGGTAAATATAAAAGCTATTCTTGTGAACTTGGTGGAATGGCTGCATTGTTTGGAATTAATCGTTCTCTTTTATTTTGTATTCAGCAAAAATAGTTTAAATAGCTATCTGGATTTCCTAAATTGCTAACACAGGAATGAAAGATGCCTTATTGCTATATACTATATGGACTCATTGGACTGTATATTGCCTATTGTATTTTACTTTGATATTCTGGTTGCCCTGAACCTTGGCCAGGCAAGACTGATGAATAGGGCTATGCACACAAGTGGCAATTACAATAGGAGAGGAAGACAACTAAGGAGAAAGAACGCAACGGGGACCGGGGAGACCAATGCTGCTGCCACTACTTTTGTCTTTCTGAATCTAGGTAAAAATTTATCGGTTCAAAACCTGAACAGCAGGCCACAGACCTCCACCTTTCAAAACCAAGAAGAAAGTGCATGAGAGTGAATGACCCTTTCAGGGTCAGATTAGCAGAACCTGACTTGCATGCATTTCTTCTGTGAGAGAAGTAGAAGAGGGAGGAGGGGAAGCAGGCGAGATGTGACTGAGAGATCTGTGCCACAAGCTGCCTCCTGCCATTAGGGATTGGGAGCAACCCCTTGAGAAACCGTATCCTGAGAGTCACATCCACCCATTTCAGAGAGCTTCTCCCATTCCCAGTAGGAAGCTGCCTTGTACTGAGTCAGGTCTTTAGTCCATCTAGCCTGAACCTGAGCCCAACATTCCAAATCTGGTTTTCCTTGGAAGGCCAGGTTTTCCAGCTTAGTGGTTTTGCTTTTGTTACTACACAACCAGTTCAGTTTCTGAGCATTCTGCACCATTCTTATGGCAGGTTTGCAGACAAGTTTGGAAGCAGATCTGCCTTGACACTCTCATATCTGGCTGGATCTTTGTGCTTCTTGCTCCTGTCTGTGTCCTCCAGCATCCCACTGCTGTTTTTTTCCAGACTTCCATCCATCTTCGTACATGGACTGCCAGGTAACGTTACTTGTTGTTGTTGTTAGTCGCGAAGTCACGTCCGACCCATTGCAACCCCATGGACAACATTCCTCCAGGTCTTCCTGTCCTCCACCATCCCCCAGAGTCCACTTAAGCTCACGCCAACTGCTTCAATGACTCCATCTAGCCACCTCATCCTCTGCCGTCCCCTTCTTCTTTTGCCATCTATTGTTCTCAGCATTAGGCTCTTCTCCAGGGAGTCCTTCCTTCTCATTAGGTGGCCAAAGTATTTGAGTTTCATCTTCAGTGTCTGGCCTTCTAAAGAGCAGTCAGGGTTGATCTCCTCTAGGACTGACCAGTTTGATCACCTTGCGGTCCAAGGGACTCGCAGGAGTCTCCTCCAGCACCACAATTCAAAGGCCTCAATCCTTTTGCGCTCAGCCTTATGTTACTAGAGGATGCAAATTCCAGAAACAGCCCATTCCAATATTAGCTCCAGGAGTGAGTCAAACTAAGAACCCTGACTCATACAAGTAGTCATTAAGGCAAATTTGTGCAAAGTGTGAATTAAAATTGGAGTGATATCAGGGAATTGATCACCAGGGAAGTTAAATTGTTTTGATCAGCTTTTGCCCCTGAATTTATTTAGTTAGCTATTATATCTGTATGGTCCAATAGATCTTCAGGATAGCCTACAAAACTCAAAAACCGTACAGATACTGCCATAACGCTGCATAAAATCCATGTTTAACCATCTATGGGAGCAACTGTATGGCCTCCCAGCCTTGTTTCGGGGGACTACAGAGTTATTCTGAGCCCAGTCCCAAGGTCCTGTGTTCTGGGCACTGAGTTTCTGAATGCCAAGCCACTGCCCTGCACCCCTTGCGGACAGCACAGAAAAGGCTGCACAGGCTGACTCTCTGAGGTTGCAAATCAGCCCCAGAGAGCAGGAAAGGGGGGATATGATGGGATGGGGAGGGGTGAGGCCTGGTTTCAAATGATGCACCCACCTGTTTCCCTCCCTGTCTGTGGTGCTTCATCTAAATAGCTGAAGATGGTTGGGCAGATTAGGGTTCCTAGTGGAATCCATTTCTCTAACAATCAGAACTCACTCTCATCCTTGACCCAGTCTTAGAAAGTGAGCCAAGCCAAGAGGAGATCTGTGAATGCTCATGGGACAAAGGGTGTGCAACTGGCAGTCTGCTTCTGTGCCATGTACTGTGGTGCAAACAAAGGGAGCTGCAAGCAGCATGAAAGTGAGAGCACCGGACTCAGTTCCTGGTGGCTTCCTGCAAACATGGGGTGCTCTTACCAGCAATTCAGGCTCAGAGTTGTGACAAAGAAAACTGGAGGCCAGGGAGCTGAGCCCAGGGAATCGGATGAATTCTCACCCCCAAAATGGATTCCTCACACACCTGGAATGCAGAGTGTGAGGTGCAGCAGTGACAGAAAACTGCGCCAGCAGTGGTGACACATCCAACATAGAAGCAGCAAAGAAAATGCCTTCCACTCAAGTGTTAAAGTGGGGTTCTGCTTCCTCTTCGGAAAGGCTAATGAGAGAAACCCATTTGAATTAGCTTCTAGAAAGGTAGTTTGGAGTAATTAACCCAAACAGGGGGTTCAAATGAGAGGGCAGCATTAAAAAAAGAGGGTAAGCCCAGTTCAATCCCTGCTTACAAACCTGGCATCAGATTATGTCTTTGGTAAATGTGTGTTTTGGGTATACAACTTTGGGTTGCAGGGTTTGCCTGGGATTTCATGACTCAGTATTCCTCCCGCATGCAAAAGAATTCCAGCCCCATACAGTCCTTTCTCTTCCTCCATACAGCTTGTTTGTTCACCTTCCTCTCACTTTGGCCCAGAGAGCAGTAGCTGGGGAGGAAGAGGAGAACCAAATGCCACAGCCTACTTCCTCACTGGTCCTCTGCTGTCAAGCAGGACAGGGTGGCAATGATGAGAGAGAGGAGGAGGAGCAAGAGCAGCTGCTGAGGAGGGTGCAAAGGTCGACTTGCTGAGGAGGGGACCCTTCCAGAGTGTCTTGCCCAAGGGCCCTCCAAAGCCTAGCAGGCACTGCCTACATATAAAGAGGAGTCTAGATGGCAGGTAGCCAGGCCATGCACAGCCAGATTCTAAATGTTGTTGCCAAATTGCAGGAGTTAAGATCCACCATGCCTAACAATATTCATTCAAGGATTTTGGATAAATCACAAACCACTAGTGATCATACTTAAAAAGGGACTTGAAGGTCTTTCCGTGCAGCATTATCAACAATTATTTCCCCACTGTCTTTATAGGTGCTCAGATGGTCATAACGGATTTGACTACCCCAGCCAAACGTGCTGATGCTTTAGGAAAAATTGGACTTTGTTTTGGAATGGGAATAATCATCGGCTCTTCACTGGGTGGAACTTTAATCACCACATTTGGGTGAGTGGCTTCAGGTCGTGCTTCCACCATGCATAGGGAACATCTTGACCGGCTAGCAGCTATCTTGCTCTCACTGCTCATACTCCTCAGTTACAACTAGGTGGCCTAAAGTGAAAGGAATTGAAGCAATGGAATAGTCTGGGAAGCAGCCCAATGCAGAGAAGGGGCAAATTGGATCGAAGGCTGTCTTGAGAGTTTAGCAAATGAGTACAGGATGATGAAAAGGAACAGAACTCTCAGTGTGTGTAACTCGTGAGGGGACATTAGAGAATTCTTCAGATCTGGCCTTCCGAGAAGATCAAAAGCATGTTAGGAGATCATCCATTCAGTCCCAGCAGGCTTCAAAATACCAAAGAAATGTTGAAATGATCTGTGCTTGCTTTTGGTGTTTTAGATCACATGATATATAACTTTATACAAACAACTGGTCTCCTGCAGCTTAGTTTTACATTGTTCCAAAGCAGCCATAGTTTAAAGAGGGTTAACAGCCTTCAGGATCAAAGTCCCAGCTGAATGCAGATTGCCCTCATAAAGGGTGACGCTTACATTCTGCTGCTGAGCAATTTTATTTGCTGGCTCCAAAGGGCTGACTGACTAAAGTAGGCACACAGAACCGCTTCCAGCCCAAGAAATGAATCCCGTTTTAGAGAAGCTCCAGGGGGCTGCATTCCCATATGGCTGGGGCCAAAAACAAAGCAACACAAAAACTACCTATATTTTAGTCTAAAGCACTGACTGCCAGTAACTAAGATTCAGGAGTAGAATTTCAACTTTTTAGAGCATGGAAAAATCTACACAAAAGCCAGAAAGCCACCAATTGATGGGCTTCTGAGGAAAAGGGATAATACCCGGGGAAGTGGCCACAGTCTCTGGGGACCTGCAAAGGGCCAGGCTTGGCCTCCAGGCCTGGGTTCTACACCGCTGGACGCAAGGCTGCTCACCTCCTTCCTTCCAGCTTCTGACATCAGTCTGTATTGCTGCTGCAGTAGCTGTGTATTGCTGGTATTCTTTCATGCTAGGTTTTGTTGTTTCTAAAATGCTTGCTACTGTTGCTGTTTTTTAACTACCCCATCCATTTTTATTATGCGAGTTTTGCTGTTGTATGCCCCTTTGGGAGGGCTCCTGGCCATTTTAAATAGATCAATACATGTCAATTAATGCTTCAATTGTGGGACTTGACTTTTTCCACACCAGGAAGTGTATCAATATACATATATCAATTTTTAGGATGCTTTTCTTCCCAGTGAAAATAACACTTGTGCCACCATTGGGAATAATCTGAGGATCCAAAAAGGTAGAAATTGAAGCAACCCTAAAATTGCCTAACCACAGTAATATTCATACATGGTAACATCAGGCTTTTGTACACACCTGAGTATAAGGTATGTATTAGCCCTGCAGAAGAGTTAATGTTGGGAAGCAACCGTTTGCTTTTTGCATTTGCTATGCAATGTATATTTGCTAGAAAGCTTACTCACCTCTCACTGAAAGGCAAAAATGTAGGCTATAACCTACACATGGTTATGCTGCTTAAATCTCACTGATACTCAAGCACACTTAGTTGGAAAAGTCCCTCTGAATTCAGCAGAACTTGCTTCTATATAACCTCTTGATGTTCTTAGTTTAGGTTTCTGTGGTCTGCAGCTTTAATGAGTACATATATGGTGGTTAACCATAGTAACTGCATGCAGGACTGCTTTATGAGTTTATTTCACCATAATGCAAACACATATTGCAACAATCCCATTGTGTTGTAAACGGTAAGCCATAATGTTTGAAACAACCCTGGGAACATAATTCACAATTGCTGTGGTATGTTTATAATTTATACGGATAAAATCTTGGTTTGAAAAGCATGTAGACCAAAGGTGGCTGTTGCATATGGAGCACTTGGTTGTGGAAATCTTAGAACAGCTTTTAAACAAGAAACAGAAGTAGGCAAAATGGTGCTTGGTCTAATTTAAACAATTCCGAAGGTAAACCATTCACTGTAATAAATAAGATTGTCCACTAGATGTCAGTGTTTTGCTGTCAATGTTCATCCAGCATTCAGAGAAAAGGAAAGTTGAAAAATTGGCCAACCTACACCCTTCCTGGCTTGTCCTTTTCCTAAGCATTGAGATTTTGTTTCTTAAATTATTCTTCGAAATCAACATGCTTTTCATTCCCATGCTAACTGTACATTAGGAATCTATTTTGTTAAATCTGTTCTGTCTGTATTTCAAGGATTGTCAAGTGTCTTTCATTCTGTTGTCAGTTCATTGACAGAATCCAGTAGTTATGAGAATTTCACGCCCACTTGTGCAAGTGCACTTTAGTGCAAATGTACGTTATTGTCCATTAGTGCATATTAGCACTAATGCACACTTGTGAATGTATGCAAATCGTCCCTAAGTGTAAAAAAAGTCCTGTGAGTCAATGGAATCTATGAAAGCTGGAAACATGCAGTTCGCTGCAGAATCTACAGAATGGATTTCTTGGTCTCTGAATGCCTTTGAATCTGTTGATTTGTGTGACTTCCCCAGTTTACATCTATACATTTTAAAGGAGAGGGGGTTATAGCTTGTGGCATCCACTACCAGCAGTGGGGAAATTGTGTGATTGGCACTGGTTTTGTGTGTTACCTTGGCCAGGTTTTGCAAGAATAAGATGTGGCTGGGGGCATACAATTTCCAATGCATGCTTTTAGGGGATTTTAAATGTCAACAGGCTCACTTCAGTAGGCACAATGAGCTGCTGGAATAGACAGAGATGCCTCTTGTAACTTTGCATGTCATGGAGAATCAAATTGGTTATGCAGTGTTGAATGATGCAGGGGAGAGGGTGGGGGGCATGGTTCAATAAATGATTGTTTAGTTGTGTTTTTCATGAGATTTTAGATTCTGCTTCCCAGAGGCAAACAGTGGTGAGATTTACGCGTCAGACCTATATGGATGAACTTGGTTTGATTGATGCTTGGAGAATTTTGTAGCCACGTCAGAGACATTTCACCTTCATTTCACCTGCCCATTATACATGCTTTTGATTGGATCAATATTTGGTGTCTTCATTTTTGCTACACCAGATACATGTTTATAATATTGATATGCTGGTAATCTCACACCATGTCCCAGTCTGGAGCCTGGAGTTGCTCCAAATTGCAGCCTGGAGTTGCAATTTTCAGATTTGCCAAGGCCTCCTGTCAGCTGCCAGATGATTGGTTTAAAAATTGGATTTCAGCTGAGAACACAAGTATTTTTAAATTAATGAAGGTAGTTTGATTCTTGTGCTATTGAGAGGGAGAAAAGCTACATTCTTACATGCAGCTGAATTATCCCTATCCCTCCTATAAGATTTTTTTTAAAATGCATGAGATATCTCCAAGTAAGGGGTTACCATTTACCCAACCAAACAACTTTATTGGGTCATTATATATGAGTTTAATATACTCACAGCCTTGAATATACTTTTTCACAGCCTGAGGAATTTGCCTTAATCTGTTCATTACAGGCACAACGGTGATCATCCTAGTGAGATTCTTGCACATCTTCTTAAAAGGAAGATGGAAATTATCTTTCAGCTATTAAAGATAAAATAATTTCACCATTTCAAAGGTCTTAATGTGTTTTGAAGCATTGGCACAGGATATGGACACTTTCTCCCTCCCTCCAGTTGATCTTCTACATTTAGATTCCCCAGAACAGCATTTCTCTTGGCTCCTTTGTGCATTGAGGAAGTTCTGAAAGGAATTTACAAATATAAAATCACCTGGTATACATGGGCTCTGGACTCAGTCAGATAAAAAGTTTCCCAGACTTTTATGCCAAAGCTTCACCATCTTTACAATCATATTTTTGAATCAAATTCTCTTTCCTCGTTGTTGAATGATCTTCACATTGTAGTGATGCTTAAGTCTGGGAATGATCAGATGTATTGCATTATTGGCTTATTTAATTAACATATATATTAAAATATTAACTTCAGTACTGTGCAACAGCTTGTAACAAGTTATTGCAACCCTGGTTTGAACAGATGAGGTGAAATTTATTAAACACAAACAGGGGACTGATATGGCAAGATTGTGTGATGATCTGATAGCTTTAAATACTGATAAACTAGGTTACCACTGTTTCTTTAAGGCATTGGAAAGCCTCTGACAAAATGCATCGGAAATTTATTTTCCCCTAGTTGAGTAATTTCTCTAGTATTCTTGAAACAAAATTCTTTTACACTGATAATTTTTTATTGTTTACCTTGAAATTCTAGTTTGCCTGTTCTAGCTTTGATGCAGTTGATCAAGAATCCTGGGGATTTGTCTGGCTAATCTATAGGTCAGTATCTGGACTGAAACCAATGGGTGATACTATTTCTCATAGTATATTGGCAATTTTGATTTTGTCTAGATCTTATTATTTGCTTTATATCATGCTTATATTAGATTTTCGTCCTTAGCTTTACTTGCTTAGATTAGATTTTCCTCCTTAGCTTCGGAATCTTTCTGTTTTGATTTGCTGTCCAAATGGATGGCATTAGGGTCTTGGCACATTAAAACAGTGTTTTAACCATGGGGGCCTGGTCTAGGCAAGGTGTCCTACTTTAGATTCAGGTATACTTAAGAAAAAACAAAACCAGCAGTGTCCAAGGTTGTATACAATTTATTGAATGCAATGATGAAATATGGAGGCAGAACCTAAATCGGCATAAGGAAGCTTATGCTCTTCTTGTGGCCTATTGGTGATAGGCCAGGGGATAGTCCATGGACCTCCAAAGTGTTGAATGATGGGTGGACAGGAGACTTCTGGTTGACGTCGTGGCGAGACAGCTGTGAAGAACGGGGGCTCCCGTAATCACGCCGGTAATTTGTTCGACAGTGAGCTGTGAGAGGCTCATCCAAGCCCTGTTGGGGCAGGGAATAGAAGCCCGAGCATACTTCTGGGCAATGTGGGGTGGCAGCTCCACATTTACTGGGAGAAACTCGGGACTTTCTCAATGATGGGTGGACAGCATGTCAGTGCCTGTGC